AGCGGGGAGCCTGCTTCTCCCTTTCCCTTTTCTCCTCCTCTCTTGTGCTCTCTCTCTCTCTCTGTCAAATAAATAAAATCTTAAAAAAAAAATTTCTTTGTGAAAATTACAAAATGCTGGACTTTTATTATGTATGAGTTATGCAAAACACTTCCTCAATAGAGTCCTAGAGAAAACTGAAGTTTTTAATTAAGTAATTCCTAGATATCTAGCTCTCCAAGGCCTTGTGGTAATGACTAATTTTAAAACAGTCACTAAGAGTAGGCACTACTCCTCTCCACATCTTATCTCCTATTGAAAAGAGGATTCTTCAAATTATGCAAGGATCGTCAGAGCTAAATATAAGAGCATAAACAAACAGAACCCACAACAAGCCAAAAAATAAAACTGGACCATAAAGTTGTTGATTGACTTTTCTGGTGGCAAATCAAATTGTATTACAGGTGTCTCCTACTATCTGAAAGTTCATTTTATCCCATTTCACTTTTACAAAAGACCTACATTCATACCTGTCTTCACTAATTGAAAGAAATCCAAAGAGGATTTTTGCTTTTATGAAATGGTAATTGCTTCTTTGCTTTATGCCATTTTGGCTTTTGAAAGGTTTCATAGGAATGCTCTACTTTCTGATGGGGGGGTGGGGAGGAAACCTGTTTTTTGTGAAAATCTCAGAGAATAAAATGATGTTTCAACTCGCATTTAGTTAAATTATTTACAAACCTTGTATTGAATTGTCTTGGGACTCTGGAAAAAACAATCTATCAGTACCCTTTGCTATCTTAATTCTTACTACCTGATCTCAAAAGCCCAAAAGATTTGGAAAGCAAAAGATACGTGTATATCATTTTCCCATATGGATAAAGCCTAAGAATCAGAAGTCTATAATATATTAGAAATAAGGTTCTTTTGTTTGTAAGGAACAGAAACCATCTCTGGCTAGCTTAAGCAAAGAAGGAAATGTTAATTATAAGGATACTGGAGGAGCTCCAAGAAATTGAATGATGAGCTCGACAACTGAGCAGTAAGAAAGGCAGAAACCCAAGGCTGCTCTGGGAATCTAAATAGCAAAACTTTCTCTGAGTCCTGCCTTTCACAAGACTTGGGTCCAGCAATTCCTATACTCTGCGTCTTTCTTCTTAAATTTCAGAATATCGAGTGATGGAATTTGGCTCCATTTGGATTATTCGCTTATGTGAATGAAGGAAGTCACAATGGCAGATTTGATTACCAGAGAAATCACTGAGCAGGGCTCTCTGATTTCTGCCGGCTTCTGGGCAGTCTGGTAAGGGAGAGAGAGAGAGAGCCAAGAGGAGTGTGAGCTTAGATCACCACTTAGTAGGTAAATTAATAGTAACTTCTTAGCGCTTTCCTAAATAGTAAATGTGGGAAAATATCTATAACATACAATTTACCATCTTAACCATTTTAAGTGTAAAATTCAGTGGCATTCATCACATTCACAATGTTATGCAACCATCACTAGTATCCATTTTCAGAACTTTTTCATCATCCCAGACGGAAACTCTGTACCCTTTAGACAATCACTCTGTCCACGTCCCCTCCTCCTCTCTCTAACTCCTAGTCTACTTTCTGTCTCTATGAATTTACCCATTCTAGGTGCCCCACATAAGTGGAATCATCCTTTTGTGTCCGGGCTTATTTACTAAGCATAATGTTTTCAAGAATCATCCATGTTGTAGCACGTACCAGTACTCCATTCCTTTTTATTGCCAAACAGTATCCTATTGTAAGGACTTAGCATGTTGTGTCTCTCTATTTATCAGTTGATGGATCTTTGAGGTTGATTCTACTTTTTAAGTATTATTAATGATGCTGCTATGAATAGTCTTGTACAGGTTTTTTTGTGTATACATATTTTTAATTCTTCTATTAGGTATATACCTAGCAGTGGAATTGGTGGGTCATTGGTAACATATTTAACATTTTGCCTCAGCCTTTCCTATTCTCCTTATCCTGCTTTACCTTCCCCCCCATACTATCTTATTACATACCAGATAATTTACTATTTAAATATCCATTGTTTATCATCTGTCTATAAAGTCTTTGAAGGCAGGGATTTTTCTGTTTTGTCACTGAGTATCTCAAGTGCTTGGCTCTATATTCTCAAATCTCTAAGTAGCTGTTAACATCAGTCCTTCTCTGGAAAAAAGTCAATGTAATTGTTCTTCTTATTAAATGTTTTGAGAATCCATATAGGTAATTCTTTTAAAACAGATGAAAATTGGCATTAGTTTTATGGTGCCATTAAATCTTACTATAATAGGTAGTTTAATAATCTCTTGGGTCATATCGCTGCACTTACCTGGCCCAATATATGATAAAACCTACAGTCTGGAAAAGTAATGTATATAGCCTTATTTAATGGTTTCCATGTTATAGCCACATTAAAGAAAAGTTGATATTTCTGAAAGTTCAGTTTTGTTTTTAATGTGTGCAAAGGGTGAATTTGTAAGCATTTTATGAGACAGTTTCTTACTTTAAATCAGCTCTTTCTCTTTGTGGATATTATATAACACATGCAGAGAGACACTTTTTATTTTAACTGCTATTGGCAAAGAAGTTTAGTTGGAAATAATTTGCTAATATGAAACCAGAGAATAGTTGGGGAATTTATAGAACTTAAGAAAAATAAAAGAGAGCATATGACAACTTGTAATTTTTATTTTTGAAATTTAGGAATAAGTTCTGGAAAAGGATAAGCATTTAAATACACGTTGAAGAGGGCAAGTTGCAGTATTTTTTTTCTTCATTAATTTATATTCTGTCTATTGACTGAGTCTGTTAGAATGTGCTTTGCCTCAAGCTTATTCAAAAATATACATGTTTGGCCATTCTCTTTAAGAACTTAAAATTCTCCAGTGTTGTTATTTGCTCTTATTCTTGGAATCTTCACTGGTAGCAATGTACAAATAAGAACTTCTTTGAAGCGTATTTGTATTTGCATATAGGACAGAGAAATAAAGTGAAAAATATAGATATGTACAAATTACAAAATAATTTAAAAAGTAAAACAATGTCATTCTATTTCCTCTAGTTGTAATGTGCCATGATCTTCTATGATAGGTGTTTAAAATATAATATCTTTAGAAAAATACTTTTGAGGTGAAAGATACAAAACATTATCGGGGTTTTGCTTCATTTCTGTAATGTCCAAATTAATTCAGTGGAAGCACATCATACCAATTAAAGACAGTGACTTAAAAAGTATATTACACAAATCACCAACATAGTTACATTAGGGATCCAAAATAAGTTAATGATTTAAGGACTAGTAACTTGTGTTTGGCTAAAGTGTTCAAGGTCATTACTGATATCAGGGACATAACTACTTAAACATTTGCATTTCAAGTAGATTTTTGGCTTCAACCATGTTTTCAAAGAGGGTAGTTTCAAACCTGGTGTGTTAAAATAGGCAGGAAATGTAAAGAAAGGAATTTTGTTGTACTAAAGACTCTATAGTTGTGGCTAGGAATGGTAAACTAAATATTGTGACATTTTAAGTCAAATTAAGCCTCATTGTCAATGAAAGAGTTATTTAAAACTTATTAAATTAATCCATCTCTCCCATCTCTAGGATTAATAACAAATGAGAAAAGGGCCTTTATTTACCTTTCTTCCCTATTTACCTGGCAGGACATGATTTAATAGTTGAGTTCCAATTCTAAACTCATGTGAAGAATGAGCTTCCTTCCCTGATCAGTACAAATGAAGTCATTGTTACCTGTTAGAGTGAAACCCAGTGCTTATTTCCAGTCTTAGCTGCTAAAGAATCTTTCAGAAAGTCTTTTAAAATATTATCAAATTGCAAGTATAAAAACACTGTTATTATTGAGGAAACTGGATAAAGAATTGTTTAGGTAAATAGTCATGTAGGAGTTTTGAGAGGCAGTAATTACTTTGGGAATAGTATATAAAGTTATACTGTGACAGTTTTCTAAAGAGTAGGTCAACATTCATTTTGCACATTTTTTTTTCCAAAATGGAAGTTGTAATTAATGTGATAAACTCTAAAGAATTGATGCCAACTGCATCGTTTAGTTTGAGCTCTGTTCAATTTAGCAAAATGCATTTTTATTGCAATTTCCATATCAGAGACTGCTAGTTACTCCCTCAAATTCATTTTTCCTTTCTTCCATACTAACAGAAGTATTTGAGTTTGTGGGTGACTAGAATAAAGACCACATTTCCCAGCCTTCCGTGCAGCCAGGGTGATCATGTACTATACTTTGAGGTCAGACCTTTAAAGGAAGCTTTTGCTGCCCTCTCCCCTCCCCTCCCCTCCCCCCACTCAGTTAATTGTAATATGGGCAGGTAAGAAGCCATCTTGAATCATGCTGATGTGACCAATATATTGGGAATAATCGAGCATCAATAAATGAACCTGTTCTCTGGACATCCTGGCTCGACTATATTCTAACAGAAGATGGAACTGGATAGGAAGACAAAGGCCAGAACATATATTCCCCATTAGGTAATGTGAAGACATTGAAGGATTTTGAAGGAGAGTGAAATGATCAGGTTTTGCTCTAGGAGGATCAGACAGTGGTAAAGAGAAAGAATAGAATGAGGTTGCAAATGGTAGGCATAGGAGGAATCAGGGTCTAAATGAAGCAGCCTGAACCAAGGAGCTATACTGGGGATGAAAAGTAACTTGTCTTGGAATCACTGAAGGGACAACAGTGTTTCACTTTAGACCCAAAAAGTTTTACAGATTAAAATATTCGTTGTGACTTTTGAACGCTTTATTTTAAAAATGGAACACGTAGACTTGAGAGTTTGTCTTTCATTTGCTTATGTATGGATAAAAGGTCTTTAAGCCCAGTGCAACTTCAGGCTTTTCTGGACTCTGACATTACAAGCCTCATCTTGTTCCATGCTTTCTTCCCTGGTTCTCTGCTTCGGGCACAATGCCTCCCCCCACCCCCACCACCTTTTTTAGTTGCGTATACGTTCTGAGTTCCCTCTTACCACAGGGCCTTTTTACATGTTTTCTCGTCTGTCTGGTAGGTTTCCCTGCTTAAACCTTTGCCTTTTACCTAATTTATACCTAACCTATTCATCATTCAGATTTCAGCTCACTGACCGTTCTGCAGTGAACTTTTCCTGATCTCCCAGACTGTGTGAGCTCCTTTTCTGTATGCTCATATAGCACCATATTTTTTCCCTTCAGAAAATTTATCACAGTTGTAGTTTTAATTTTACTTAAGCTCTGTAAGGGCAGAGCCCATCTGGTTTTGTTCACAATTATGTCCCTAATGCTGCACACAGTATCTGTCAGATAATAGGTACTCAAGAAATTGAGTTTGGTTCAGACAAACCTGATTTCAAATTACAACTCTAGTCTTCTTGGTATGACCTTAAGAAGTTACTTAATACTGAAACCTCTATTTCTTTATCTGTAAAGTGGGATTATTGCTTAGGTTATACTATTGCCATGAGATTAGTGGCAATTAACATTGTGAAACACTTAGTAAGCATCAAACCCTTAGCATCAGGCACCTAAATTAAATAGGTAGAAACCACTGTTACTACTATTGCTATTATTGTTATTACATCCAAAAAATCAGCATGAGTCTCTTTTTGGAAGCTTGGTTAAGTTCATAGTGCATTGATGTTGAAAGTTCTGTTGCATTATGTTTATAAAATTTTGCAGTAAACCAACTTAAGCTGGTATTTGTTTAATAGGCTGTTCAAAGGCACAGTGCCTTATCTATTTTTTTTTTTTTTTTGGTTTTGGCTTTTTTTTTCTTCCTTACTTTGATAATGCAGGTTACTAAACTGCAGGCACTTATATTTATCTTTTTTTAATTATTTATTTATTTTTATTATGTTGTATTTATCTTTTATTAGCGGTTTGATGCCTGCTATCCTTTTGATGTAATGCAAACACCTGAAGTGTATCAACATTAGTAATAACCTTAGATTTGCTTGGCATATATATGCCCTATCTTCCTTGGCTAGAATTTTCAAGTCTTGTTACATTTTAAAGACAACCTGTTATTTTAGTTGCTAACATTTCTTCCCTGGTAGAACATAGTGGTAAAAGGAAACAATTCTATTTTATTTATTGAACCAAAAAACAAATGTTTACTTTGGAGCCATTAGGGTAGAGATTTTGCACAATTTTCCACTGGACAGCTTCTCTAGTTTCCTAGTGGCCAAGAACTCCTAATGAACATCTGTGACTGGTAGAGGGATTAGCAAAAACATTGATCTAATTTGGGTAATTAATCAGTTTATAAATAAAAAAGTTTGCCTAGGATAATCTTGTTAAATTTTGAATAGTGACTAATCAAATGATGATGTTTACTTATCCTGGGAATACTAATGATTTTTAGACAAAATCAGAGGGATCTGAAAGGCATGGCGAGTGTTCTTACTGCTGCCTCTTGGATATACCTAATGAACAAAAATATGCAGGCTCTAGCTTTCTTTTAGTTATGCCATAAAAGGAGATTTTACTATTACTGGAATCTTAGTATATATATGCACACAAACTATTGAAGAATCCTTGTAAATAAAAGCATTAAAGGAAAACACTTAAAAACCCCCTCTTTATAAACTCCGTTGAAAGTTTCTCCATGATGCTTCCTTTCAGCTAACATAAATTCCTTTTGTTGCAGTTTATACCAGTTTGCTATTTCTAGTCCTACTGGAGTAATGGATAAGAGCTCCAAACATGTCACATTCCTTGTTATGACAGAAATAGTGAATCTGAAGACCCTTTATTAGTCAGGGTGCAAGAAATTGAGGACCCAACTGGAACAATTGTCAGCAAAGAGAACTTTGTAATCAAGGTAACTGAAGAGTAGGCATAGCACTGTTATAGACTCTATCCCTTGATTCTGTTTTATCATGAGCGTTAATTCCATCCTCAGGCAAGCTTCCGCCTATGGTGCCAGCATGGCTGCTAGCAGTTTCTGCCTTACAGTACCCTACCCTCTTACACCCAGAGCTGAAAAGAGTGCCTCATTTCCTCAGACCCCAGAAGTACAGCAGTCATCACTGTTGCTCGACTGGGATAATGGTCCTGTCTTCAGCCAAACACTGTGGCTAGGGGATGAGATGCTCTGCTTACAGAGATGACATCATCATGCCCTGAGTGGGAGAAGAAGAGCCCTCCTCCAGTATTCTGTCAGGGTTCTGCTGCCAGAGAAAGGCAGTGGATGCTGGAAAGGCAAAGACAACACATGCCCAACTGCAGCCAAATAGGATTACCCCTTAACTTCCAGGAAGCCATATTTCCTATGTCCTTACAATCAGATTTTCAATTTTTTTAATTTTTTTAATTTTTTTTAAAAGATTTTATTTATTTATTTGAGAGAGAGAGAATGAGAGACAGAGAGCATGAGAGTCAGAGGGAGAAGCAGACTCCCCGCTGAGCAGGGACCCCGATGTGGGACTCGATCCCGGGACTCCAGGATCATGACCTGAGCCGAAGGCAGTCGCTCAACCAACTGAGCCACCGAGGCACCCCAAATGAGAAAACTTTAATTACCTTTCGTGCTTCTAGAAGACTATTCTCTTTCCAGTTTACTACTTTTGGGCTTTTTATACTAGCACTGTTTTAGGCGCAGTTTACTGCCTGATGAAAAGGAGGATTATCTGAATACTTTTACATGCTGTAGTAAAGCCTCAAGTCTGGTCCAGTCTAACCTTCTTTGGCATCAGGTCTTGAAGGAAGGGACTCTGAGGAAGTCAAAGGGTGGGGGTCATGGTGTGGGGTCAGAGGGAAGGCAACAGTTTATTGCACCTAAATAATACCTCAGTAACGTTGCTACAAAATAAAAAAAAGGGGGAGTTTATGAAACAGACTTTTTCAAAAAAAGTACATTATTCATAAGCACATGAATAAACATGCTTTGAGACATGAATCTCTTCCATGAAAGTATATACATGAGAATCTCTATTTCTTACAGTACATTTTATTGTGACTGTATTTCCTTTTAATGTAGATAGCTTTTGTTCAGGCACAAGTAGTTTATCCACTTGATGGGGTAATTGTGGCACCTTATGTGCACACAGTGTACGTGAATTAATTATTATTGTGGAGATGTATAAAAAGCAGGGTGTAATATAGCAGGATTTAAAATACAGATTCTGAGATAATAAATCATTAGTTCAGATCTCAAAAATTAGAAAATTTTATTGCAAAAAATACTTTCGATTAAAAATTCCCCTGTAAAACAAATGTATTTTGTGCCAGAGCTAGATATGAATTATGATTCCTAATTAATATATAATATTGAAATGTGATCTTTGTGTAACCTTTTCAGAAATGGCACAGAAAATTTTTCTAACTCTTAAAAGTCTGTCTTCAACTCATTTTTTCCCTCCTATTTTAATATTTAAAACTTGGGTCCACTTTGAACTACTGAAGAAATTGGTTAGTTATGATATAATTATCTAGAAATCATATTTAATTTCAAGGTTGAAATCAAATCATTAAGTAAATAGATGTTTGATAATGAGCTTTTAAAGGCAATGTGGATTTTGGAAAAGCTGTTGAAGTGCTCAGGTTTGAATTCTATTCTACCCTGAAGAGGTTCTGAGAACTTGGACAAAGTATTTAATATCAATTCAGTTCCCCATCTTTAAATTGGGAGTACTAATTATATGTGTGTCCTCTGTTCCTCAGTGGTTCTCTGGGGGTATGAAATGATGTTATGCCTGTGTGAATGTTTGGAAAGCTATACAGGTACATGCCAGATGTTTTGAAAATTCATATATATTTTCTTTAAATGATAACGTCCTGAGGAGGTCACCTAAATCTATTTACTAGCATGAGTTGAGTTATATTACACATTTAAACATCAATGGTTTCTTTTTCCAGATTTGCTATAATTTTAAAAAGCCAGAAAATGTTTTCCCTATAAAACATTTCCCAATGTTTTCCCACTATTGTAGCAGTGAGGTAAATAAAAAGAAAATGTTGAGTTAGATACATAACCCAGTATTTTCTTGATTTTATTTTGTGTTTATTGATGAAGGAACATAGAAATAATTAAGTTATATATAAATATAAAACATATATATAATTAAATATCTTGTTTTAGGCAGCAGTTTTATTTATTTATTTTTTTTTTAAAGGTTCTATTTATTTGAGAGAGAGAGTGCAAGCAAGAGAGCAGAAGAGGGGGAAGAGCAGAGGGAGAGGGAGAAGCAGGCTCCCTGCTGAGCAGGGAGCCCAATGCGGAACTCGATCCCAGGACCCTGGGAGCATGACCTGAGCCCAAGGCAGATGCTTAACGACTGAGCCCCCCAGGCGGGGGCAGCGGTTTTAAAACTACACTCCAAGTATCATCTGACTACAATTCAACAGTTTGATCATGGTATTTGGAGTGTCACTAAGGCATACTCTTTTATTAATTTTTTTTTAACAAGACATGAGAGAGGAGATGAGATATGGATTTAGGGTTTATTGATTGTTAAAAAAGACATCTGGTCAAGCTGTTTCTTCTAACTCCAGCGTTCAGGGAAGTTTAAAGGGTGAAATACTCAGCACAATTATGTGTGTAAATCAAGATATCCATAAATTAAAGGAAATGTAACATTGAATGAGGGAAAATAAAACATTTCCTATCACATCCTTTCTTTTCCTGTTTTTAAATTCCAAGCCCTTTAAAGAAAACTTTGCCGCTTAGCAGTTCTTCAGGCCCTGTTTGGAATGCTAATGAGTCTGGCCTAGTAACAGCCCCAGCACTGCCAAGTTCTTGGAATTTAGATTTTTCTCCAGTCATGGAAGGGGCTTTTGATTGGTGTGTGAAAGGAAGGGAAGTCTGAACATCCCTTGATGCTGTGCTTGGAAAAGGGGAGAATTACAGAGGGTGGACACGGGACAGGGAACCAAAGGGATGTCATTTCACTCACTTAACATTGAAATACAGGACACCGTGGGGGGAAAAAACCCTAAGGATTTTTGGAGACCATTTAATGTAGGGACTATCCGTCCAATTGCTTTGCGAGAGGAAACTGAGAAAGGACCAGGGAGTTCTCTTGGTAATGCGCAGTCTCTGTTCAGAGTGCATCTTGTGCCTTCCGCAGACCTTATTCTGACAGGACAAGAGCAAGGGCCAAGGGGGACCATGAAGGTTTTTTATTCTTTATGATTTAGGATAATTTCTCCTTATCCTGGCAGAAGACGCCACCATCCTGCATGGATGTGGTCTCTCATGACAAAGCTCTCAGTGTACGACCCAGAAACAACACACAGTTGAAGAATTGTTTCTCTCCTAATGGATGTATTTTTTCCATGTGATTTGTTATTGTGCACAGCATTATAACTTAATGTGCAGATCTAGAGGAACCTTAAAAAGAAAAAGCTGAAAGCTGTATTGGTTTGTGGGAGTGAGTATATTACAAAATCTACATGTGTTTCTTATCGCATGTCCCGTAAGATAGGGTGACCATGGAGGTTTGTCTTTTCCTTCTTGATTAGGAGTTTGGCTGGAAACCATCAGTTTGGCAAGATAATTGGACCCTAAACACAGTTTCTTAAAAAGATGGTTTAAGGGGCGCCTGGGTGGCGCAGTCGGTTAAGCTCCAGATTCTTGATTTCTGCTCAGGTCATGATCTCAGGGTCGTGAGATCAAGCCCCGCTTTGGCGTCCGTGCTCAGGGTGGAGTCTGCTTACGAGTCTCTCTTCCTTGCCCTCTGCCCCTACCCCTGTGCGCTCTAGCTCTCTCTCTCTCTCAAATAAGTAAATAAGTCTTAAAAAAAAAAGGATGGTTTAAAAAATATTTTGAGTAAGTTTGAAGCTTGACATCATAGAAGAGAAAGAATGAGAAAATCAGATACAGGTAAATAAGAGCACGTGCTATGGAAAGACAGTAGCTGGTTTTATTCATGGGGCAAAATGGCTGCTGATGACATTGTTCTCTTACCTCCTCCAGGAGGCAAGAGAGTCATACCGCATGGGAGGGGGTTGGGAAATCTTACCAAAATGTCAGATGAGATCGTCTCTCCCTAGGGAGACATCTCTTATTGAAGAGTGAAGGTAGTGTATACCTGTTAAATGGGAATCGGTGCATTATCTGGGCAGGATAAAAAAAAAAATTCATTGTGGACATTTGATTACTTGGTCTTTAGTTTCACTCCCAGGAATGGCAGGAGGTTCGGAAAGAAGTTGTTTTGCCTTGAAAAGCAATCTGCTGTTGGTAGTCGCAGAGTAGGAAAAGCCAAGGTGAAAGCCACCAAATCAAATTTTTAGAGGAAGTTTTTGTGAGAAAATTGTTATAATGAATCAGCTGCTGTTAAAACATCTCCAGAAGACCATTTTTGAGTAAGGGAAAGCAGTGACCCTCTTTCCTGTGTTTTTTTTTTTTTTTTTTTTTACCAGATAGGACTCTGATCAATATCAGTTTAGTAGAAAACCATTTTGCAGATGAAAAGGAGGTACCTTTCCTTCTGGTCCAGGAAAGACAAGTGTGAAACATACAGCCTATAGATATATGCTTCAAAAGGAATTGGAAAGTAGGTACTGAGATACTCCCAAACATTCAAGTGATGGTCAGACTGCGATACCTTTCTTGAGCTTGTCTTTGTAAAATTATTTGCCTCTGATTTTAAATTCTGTAGATGAAGCTTATAGCTTCAAGAGAAGCTTCTCTAATGTTAATTTCCCCTATAACTTTTCAGAATTATTGACATTTTGCATTTTGCAACTTGATTGCTCTTTGGTTCTGTTAAATTATAATAAAGAAACGTTCAAATTCAAATTAAGTTGCTAAGGAAAAAAATAAAGTTGTCTATTGATGATAGCGATGTTTGTAAGCTGGGCCCTTTAAAACTTCATGGTAGGGGGAAGTCCTCCCTTTTTTTTTTAAGATTTTATTTATTTGACAGTGAGAGACACAGCGAGAGAGGGAACACAAGCAGGGGGAGTGGGAGAGGGAGAGGGAGAAGCAGGCTTCCCGCCGAGCAGGGAGCCCAATCTGGGACTTGATCCTAGGACCCTGAGATCATGACTTGAGCCAAAGGCAGACGCTTAACTGACTGAGCCACCCAGGCAACCCGGAAGTCCTCCTTTTGAAGAATGATTTCTTTGCTTCCCATTACATTTTTAAAAAATCATTGAACTATATATTGGCCACAAATAGCATCCTAAGAAGACTGTATGTGATCTACAGGAGAGGGTCTAAATCCTCTTCTCTATTCAGCCTTTAAAGCGCTAATATTTGAGATGCTTTCCAGCTTATTAGGGATTAAGGCAACCAGCTATTAGCTATTAGTTTTGTTTCTATAGAAAAAAAGAATTATTAAAGGAGTTAGCCTCATAATATATTTTAAAAGAGAGTGGTATTTCTGTGACATGCCTGTTCCATAAACTGTGTCTTCTCTGAACAAAACTGCTAAGGTTAAGGGATGAGAATTTTTATAACAACGTTGAGGTGTCTCAATTCTAAGGTATGCTTGTGCTCTAAGAGTTTTCCTTAATCCTGTGGGGGTCATATGTCACTTTTGAGACTGAGGAAATTCATGTTGCAACTTCAAATGAGTATACAAAAACACAAGAGTTTACACGCATTTGATAGTGTTCAAGACTCCCTGAAGATCACCTGTTGGATCTGAGCTTGGGAATGCTTGTGCTAATGTGCAATAATAGCTCTTCATTAAGCTGGAAGCTTTGGGTTTGGTTTATATTGCACTCTGTTGTTTCCTCAGTGCCTAGCACAGTGCCTGGCTCATAATCAATGAATATTTGTTGAATGAATCAGTGACAAAATGGACATATTTTATTTTGGACATATTTGGTATGTGGTGCATCTAATCTGGATTTTCTGGTTGCTTATACTTTACCAGTTCTGTACTTTATAGGACCTTCATTTACTTCTTTTGCAAGGGATAGAAACCCAAGTAGTTTAAGCACAATAGGAGCTTTTTGGTTTGCATTACTGGGTAGTCCAAGAGGAAGTTCTGGTTTCAGGTTCCGTTGGGACCGAGGGTTCACTTGAGGGTACCAGGGGTTCAGTTGAGACTAGGATTTTGTCTCTCTTTTTTCACTTCTTTCCTTCTTGTAGGACTTATTCTCTGGCAGACTTTTTCCACTCATGGTGGGGAAAAATGATTT